ATACCGGTAATATTGAAAAACTGGTGGCTGTACCAGCAAAAAAAGATGCTGAGCAAAACCACACATAATGTCTTTTTAAGAACCAACACGCACACTGCTAAAAAAACACTAATAAAATACTGTGATATAACTCTGCAATAAATTAAATATTTAAATAAAGTCTTCATAAATTCTCAGCCTCATTCAAAAACAGAGTTTACATAATAAATAGCACAACAGTTCCTTAAATTCCAAAAATGTATATTCTCCATAACGCAATACGTCAAAAGCAAATACGAGTATTTTATGACGGGAGGGCTCTTCCTTGCAGCTTTGCTGTCGCAAGACGTAAGTTGTCTCACATGTATTATCGCACTGATGGTGAGAATTCAGTTTTATGACAAATGCGGAATAATGGAACAACATATTGGTATTTTTCAGTCAAAGTGGAAGCTGTTTAATTGATTTTGGACTTTTCCCGAGATCCTGGGTGTCTACCAAAACCATATGCACCTCTTACATGGTCAGAGGTTGCATGCAAAGAGGTCGCATAATTTTCTTTCCATTACTGCGGGCATTGAACATTAATAATATAGATGTAAAAGAGAAAGAAATGTGTTTTTGGTACGTCTTAACTCTGAAGCACAAATGGATGCGAGATCTGGCTGTTGTCATTGCTAGCATGATATGGTATATTTGGATCACACAAGTTAATAATTACTGAATTTTCTGAAGTTTCCTGCTTTTTATTATTCCTAAATAATACCGAAATTATGAATTTGCAGCAATTTTTAAGAATACTTATTGTAAGTTGCAGTGTACCCTTCAATTTAACAAGTTGAAATGTTCATGCGTTCATAACTATTTTGTGAACGAGAAGTAGTTAAATCGTACCACGAATGTGTTAAATCAGATCTTCAAATTCAGAGCAATGGTCAGAAATTCCAACTATGCACATCGAGGAGTTTTATGAGAGTAACGAGAGTTCAGACTACGGAGTTTAGTGTTAGATAAGTTTTATTCTGAGCGCTGTTATCATTTCATCCACTAATCAGTTCTTCGCTAAACGAACTTCTTCAAGAATTAACCAATTACTTACTTACATATTGTTCCGATGTAAGTCCTTAATTAATATAGTACGGTGCAGTAAATACCGTATTTTCTCTAATCTACATTCTGCTTATCAAGAATCCCCCCCCCCAAAGGTAAGGAAAGTAAAACGGGAGTATCTCGAAATGAAGCGATATGATTGTCCAAAAAAGTATTATTTTTAAAACAATGATACTAATGGATGGATATTTTTATTCTCGACATTACATCCATTTTCTTAGAAATTCCTCGTAACATAATATTGGGAGATTAAAAGCTTTTAAACAACGTTATTGAAACGAATAGAATACGAAACGGACCTCGAAATTGTCCGCTAATGAAATGAAGGGTGCTTATACACAAGGTTGGTCTGTATTCGAAAAAAACAGTCTCCTCGTAATCACATATTCCTACCAGTCTCAAACGCGAACTGCCCTATTGATTTATGCACCTTCGAGGTATCCATTTGATTAATCAAGAAGACAATGGAATGACGATACGCGTGCCCTCGAACTACTGACATTCGCTGTGTGTTCGCCAACTACCGACGCCCACTCCGCGGCCGAAAACCGCCCGTCCCAAAGCGCGGCTCTCCAACCACACACTGCCCGCGGTCCCTAACGACCACGTGCGATACCTCCGGGTCGAGCGGACCACCGGCCGAGAAGAACTGCCCCTCCCCCGCCGTCTGCGGCTCCCTCCGCGAAAGGAGTTAACGCGCGCAAGAACACGCGCCGTCCTCTGCGATTTATCGCGCGGCTTCTGCTGCCCCTCGCGCGCGGCGTTGCCGCCTCCAGACGCACCTGCTGCTGACGCGGCTCAGCGCCAGCGGTGTCGCTGTAATCGGGACACCTTCGGGTGTACTTCCAGTGTAGACGTATGGAGAGATGGCGCAACTGATGTCCAACAGAACCCCAACAAACGGGCCACGGATCGCGCGAGATCTTTCCTTCCTCTTCCTTGTCCTATCCTCGCCCTTTATACACACTTACACTAACACGCACTACACTACCACACATGACGGGAGCCCGGCCGGGAGCTTAGAGCTTGCTCGTCTGGGGCGATGCCCCGCGGGTGGGAGATACCTGGTTGGGAAAACTCCCGTCAACTGAGGGTAGGACGGCACTTTTGCGAATTTAACTTTTGCAGTTTTTGGACAATACAGACTTTCCGATAGTGGGATTAGCGCCAATTTTTGCATACCATGAAAAACATTGAAGTCTTTTTTGAGAAAAATTGCTTATATTTCTTGCAAAATTACGAGAAAATTACTCATATGTTTGAAAAACTGCACATGACCTTATTTCAAGATCTGTCTTTGAACAACAGACTTCATGGCTGCTTTAAGAAAAAATCTCTATCTTCAATATTGTAATTGTAGGAAAACGCCGACAAAATTTGTTCTTAAGATTTTCAAAATTTCAGACAGATCGACAATAAAGGGATCTGCACCATTTGTAAACGTTCTTTACGTTATTCGAGGACAAAGGTTAATAATAAAAACATTGGAGCTCCTTTTGCGAAAAATTTGAAAATGTGCGGGTTTATGTAAAATATCTCCCAAAATCAGATTATCTCTCTCAAACTTGATTTCGTTCAGATCGATCAATTTTGGAGAAAATCGGCTGAAGGGTTTAAGCGGTTTATCTCAGATGGACAGTCAGACGTTTTGCTGTCAATCAATTTTAGGTATCAAGGACCCAAAATAAAACGGATTCCGACTACCAGCTGTTAGAGGAATAAAATTTATCAATTTTTACGTGGCCAGTACCCTACAATAGATGTTTTCTGTCGAAAAATCGCAGATTTCCGCTGCAAGATCACAATGCTTTCTGTTTAAAGTATGTAGTAAGTCCAAAAAAGGAAAATTTATTTACGTATACTTTAAATAAACTGCTTTAGGTTATTTCTGATCCATAGAGACGTAAATTACTGCTGATTGCCAGATCGTATTGAACATTTAAAATTATTATACAAGTTTAAGTGCCCCGAAAATATCTCCTGCATAACTTTTCTAGACTAATAGAGACTATTCTGAACGTGAAAGAAGAAAATAATATTTACTTTATGAAATTCAATAAATTTCCTTACATTTGTATTGTATATTTATAAACTACTAAATATGCTTATTAAGTATACTTGAGCTTACTTACTGGGTAATAACATCTACATGTTGTGGTCAGAATCCACTATTAGCCGATCTTTGATTAAAAATGATGGTTAACAGCAAAATGTCTGTCCGTCCGTCCGTGAACAATGCTAGCGGCTAAACCCTAGGTAGAATTTTCACCAAATTTGATATTCCCCTATCGATCTGACTGATATGACGATCCCTTTAATTTGAAACGGATATTTTGTTTTTTTGTTTTTTAAACCTTACATGGAGCCCCAACGACATAATCAACATTTTTTTCAAAACCGTTCGGAAAGAAAACTCAGTTCTTAAAAATGGGGTAGGTCCAAGTTTCTTTGAATTTTTTGAATGTACTAAAATACCAATAGTTTAAAATTGTTTCGGCGTCTTCCTACATCTACAATATTAAATGGAAAAGTACTTATTCCCTATGAAACATGTTAAAATTAGAACTTTAAATCAAGCCATGCACAATGTTTTCCAGAAAATTATTAATTTTCGCGTGGATTTGCATGAAATGAAGGAAATTTTAAAAACCAAAGTCTCTGAAAAAAAGCTCCTTTTTTCAATTTTTTAAGTCAGATATTGCAAAATTCACTTATAAAACCGACGCAGCACCTTTTTCGTAGAATTCTTTTAATTTTCGAAGTAATTCGAGAAAATATGCACTGATGAAACGCCACTAATTTACTATTGCCACAGGCGGAACTTGTGAGGTTTCTGCTGAGCAAATTAAAATAGCTAATAAATTTCCCATAAAAAATCGTCTCGAAATCTGAAAGATTGGTCTTATTGTCTTGTCAGGTAACTTCACAAACGTTTTTCAGGCGTGAGCTTTATCACAAGTAAATTGTCTTATAAAACCTGGAATCGTGCTTGAAATTTTAAAAAAAAACATTCATTTAAACCTGACATGACCGAACATGACATTCAAACCTCACAAAGCGCGTGGGAAGTGTAAATCAAAGCGACCGGGTATGTGTTGAATGTGTCACGCACACTTGTCTCAAATTAGAAGCTTTGGAGCCGAAACTTTGCAGATACGTTAATAGTACGACATTATTAATTTTACATCTAGTGCCGTTTCGGAAATATTTTAATTTATTGGTCTACTTTGCATGAAGCCTCTTTGACATTTTCAAAAAGGTTTTGAAAAATGGCTATATATTGTTTTGTTTAATTGGAAAAATATTCTGACTTTATTCAAACTGACTTTATTCAAACATGTATTAAATAATTCATTACTTTTAACATTTGATCCTAGTTGGGGTCTTTTTCAAATAATCTAGGGTCTAATAGTGTTTACTACTTGACATTCATAGACCGTTTATTACATTGGCAATTTTTATGAAGTTCTGCATGATTTTATTAACTCTTTTTAATGAACCTAGACCCTACATTTTTTGCAAAAGACTCCAACGATTTAATAAGGTCAGTCAAGATAACAGACTAACAGAAATTTCTTTAAATTTTCTTTAATCTTTTTTACCGAATAGAGAAAATGGCATTTATAAACATAGTAGAGATCCGAATTTCATTATAACTCCAAAAATGATCAAAATTGCAAAATGTAAATATTTTGGAAACCTATTCTTTGCCTCCGATATTATTACCAGATATTTCTTTCTCATTTCAATTTATCGCTTAATTTTAATTGTTTAAATGACATTACGCATTTTAAGAAAGTAGTAATTGCTGGTAGTACAACTCTAAGAGACGGAAAAGTTTCGATATGCCGCCTATTCCCACTAGTTAGAAAAACCCAAGGGGGGAGGCAACACTGTCCTCGCGTATGCAAATGAGTAAGCCCTACGCGAAGCGGCGTGACGTCACCGGTCGTTGGCTATTGGGGCGAGCACGTGCCAATGGGAAGAGCCCCCTCGGCGAGGGGGCGTGGCGGGCGGCCGGGTCAGCTGGCCTTGGGTGGCGAGCGCGGGGAGATTCTGCTTTGTATATAAGGGGGCTGCGGACCCTCCGAAGGCACACTCGCTCATTGCTCCAGACGCATCAGCCACTCTCAACTCTCTCTAGCATCATGAAGGTCCTGGTGAGTAGTCAGCGGCACCGCCGCTGGCGGCGCTGGGGGGCAACAGCTTGCAACTGTTTCTCATATAGACATTCAATTTTTTTTCGTCTTCTACGTGGATGACGTTAAGTTTGCAAATGTAGAAATTCAATTTTCTCTTTTAACCCGTGGAAAGACCTTAACAATGAATAGTTTTCAAAAAATATTGAACTTCTCCAAAAACACTTTCAAATTTGAAGTAATTCAGTAAGGACTTTGAGAATGAACGGTTTTCAAAAAAGAATTTGAATTTTATCTTTGAAATGTGAAAGAACAGGGGAAGGGCTTTAAGTATTTCATAAGGGAAGCTCCCTTTTCTGCTTTAAATTCGAAGTAAATAGACAATCCGTTAAGAAATTCAGCCGAAAAACTGCATTGTCTCTTTCAAAGACCATGTACTATAGTGGGAAAACTTGACTTTCTTATTCAAATCTCAGCCATCTGAGAGGATGATATTAAGTAATTTATCACAGAAGGGAAACAACTCCTTTTTCGACTTCGAAGCAGGAAAAAGCTTCGAAACCGGGAATAAGATTTTCAATAAAGAAAGTAAATGTTCTTTTGGGGTTCGGCAACTAGGATGGGGATGAGTTTTGAATTTCTGTGGGGAATATGCACATTCCTTTTTGGCTGTGAAGCCACTCTGAGGAAATCTATCTGGAAGGATTTTCTATCTGGATTCGATTTTTCTGTATTAGAGGTAACTCGAGGGATGAGTTTTCTCTTGAGATAAATTTGGAAATATTTTTACGTTTATTTTAAATACAAAATCTGAAGTTTCTTGTTTGGCTGAAAGGCAATTCGGGGAAACGCTTTCAGCTTTTGTTAGGAATATTGAATTTTCTATTTCTGGTATGAGATAGCTCAAGCCACAGAGATCTTTGGATACTACATGTTTAATATTTTATAGTAATATATAGTATTTAATAAAATGTATAATGTTAATATAATATATACTATAATATTTAATATATACTATAATTTCACATTTCATTTTTTTGGATTTGACGTACCTTTCTATAGTAAGAAAGTCTAAAAAGTTTCGCTGCATGATTTTTCAGTTAGGAATCAATTAAGGCAACTTTGTATTTTCTTTGTTTTTCTAATTCAACACCCGACGAAAATGTTTCAAGTTTATTAAAGAAACTTTTTTGGGGGGTGGGACACGAAGGATCTATGTATGGAGCTTGAATCCGCTGGTCGGGCATAGCCAGTATCAGGCAATTGAGGCTCTGCACTAGATTGTGAATTCATTCATTGATTGTCAGTGATCCTTGCCGCGTCAACTACTACGGTCATTAGTGCCGTAAGTGTAGTACATTTTTTCTCGGGATGTGGTGTGGGAGGGTGGTGGTGTTTCTCCGGTATGTGGCGAGATTCGGCGCCGACCTACCGCCGCTTGGCGGGGTTTTCCTCAACCAGGTATCTTCCAGGAGCTGTAGATAGTAAAAGGAGCCCAGGAGAATGAGCGTGGTCAGTGGGAAGAGCAGGCCCGCTCGGCCGAGTCTCGTGAACGGGATTGAGTTGAGTTGACTTGTGGTTGCGCGCGTGTGCAGGCTGTCGTTGTTGCTGTGGCCGCGGTCGTGGCCGCCGCCTTGGCCGCCGACGTCGCCGAGCCGAAGGACAAGCGCGCCATCTACTCGTCGGGCCTGGGCTACGGCGCGTACCCCGCGGTCGCCGGCGCCGCGCTCTCCGGCCTGGGCGCGTACGGCGCCTACCCCGGCTACGGCGCGTACAGCGGCCACGGCGCCTACCCCTACGCCGGCGCCGCCGCCTACCCCGCCGCCCACGCCGCCGCCGCCTACCCCGCCTACTCCGGCTACCAGGGCTCGCTCGCCTACCCCGGCTACACCGCCGGCCTCCGCGGCTACTCCGGCTAGACGACTGCACGCTGCGACGCTCGCTGCCCTCACTCCCACGCCTCTACGTGCGTCTGTCTCTTCCTTTCCACTCTGTTCTCTACTCAATAAATAGCATCTAAACCACAAGGGCTCGTTGTTTACACTTATTTATCACTACGCCCCCCCCCATCCATGCTCCTTTATAAAGTTTCCATTTTAGTACTTTTAGTACTAGAACTACCTTCTCCATTAAAGATACCTAGCATAATGAGAGGGTACAAAATATATATATATATATATATATATATATATATATATATATATATATATATACATACATACATACATACATACATACACACATATTCAGAGAATCTTGCTTCTTCTGCTTACTGTTTATGGCAATCCAATTGCACTCAAAAACTGCATTTGAAAATCACTTTATTAATTTATTTCACTCTTTCATGGTCTTTTATAATATAATGAAAAGTTGTTCGTTTAAGAATTAAGATATTCCCCATCAAATAATGCTCAAAACAGGTCAATTCTCTAAAGAAACTACATTCCAGTAGTATTACAATTATTAAAGCAGTGGTGTTCAACGGTATACTCACATTATTTCCAACTTTTGCAAATTTGGATAATTCAGAGAATTCAATGACATTGATTCCTGCGCCATTCTCTTAAAAGTTCTTTCCGAGAACAAAGGACGAGAACACATCCAAAAATGATGAGCAGTTTTTCAGAAAATTAGGAAATGTGGTTCACGCTTCGTGGAAAATAACTCCCAAAAATAAAAATATTTCTTTCAGACTCTGACGTCCTCAAGTTTCTTCAAACCGATCCAGGAATGTCAATTTCGGAGACAATCGGCTGCACGGTTAAGGCGCTAGCGTTGTCTACAGACGGACATTTTGCGGCCAATCGAGTTTTGTTTCTCAAGGACCCACGAAACATGGATTCAGACTGTTCAATGAGGTAGAGGAAGTATGGTTAAATAGTTGCTATATTTAGTTACACGATTTACTCTCTTTTTTGTTAGGGCCCGGCAATAAGTGTTTTTGTAGAAAATTAGCCGTTTTGGCCCATGATTACAATTGTTTGTTTTCTTACGACGTAAAGCGATAAAGTAAAAATGCGTAATTGATTTTAGTAGTCCACTTTCGCTTCTAGTTTTCCTCTTCATTTACCTTGTTCATAGGGGTACAACACTCTGCTCACAGACTCCTAACATGCGCTGGTTTCCACTTTACGTAGGTTCTCTCTTCAATAAAGAGAATGTAAACGTTGTGTAACCATTTCCCTTTACCGTTCCACACCACTCACAATGCCATTGCGAAGAAAAAATACCCTTCGTAGAAGATGCACCTTCCACAACATTTTTTCCTGTACTCTTTTTTTGATCCTCTAAACGATTCACATTTAGTTAAAAATTCTCTTTTTAAAAAAAGTCTTTCGCAACCCAACAGTTTATGTATAGACGGTAAGTGTATGGTCCTATTCACAAAGCAAAAATTTTCCTGTATCTGTCCTTTGCTTTCTGCATTTTGTTTTTTGTATTGCGCACCTTCTTAAGTAACATGACATTTGAAGTCCTTCACTAGTAGCTTTCCACGCAGGTTGCTTGGAAATGCCTTGAAGAGGGCACACACTTGTGCTGCCGCTCTACGCACGAATGATTCCCAGTTAAACTTCGCTCCACAGCTTCTCTTCGCGAATGCATACACTTTTTTTCTGCGCTCGGTTTAATGCTTTCATCTGACCTTTTCCATGAGATTCAAACACGCTACTTCGTATTCCCTTACGGATTGAACTAACGAAGTGCAAGTCTGTATTTTCTCATTACAATTGTCTTCCTGTAATAGGCACAATTTTTTAAAAAAAAATTAAAAATAAAGAGCTTATTTCTGAAATATGCTTCCTAGAAATATGTACACCATAGTTATCTTCATAATTATAATTTCTTTTCCCATTTATGTTTAAAATAGCATCATAGTTGAAGAATATCTGAAGCTGATTATCTAAACGTACCTACATACTTAAAGTGAACTTTCATAACAAAGTACTTAAATTGAGGGCGTAAGACGTAGTTCCTAATTACTGGAATTTTATTTGAAACGATGTATCATTGGCAGAAAGTTGTAGTCAATTGTGGTTACCTTCTCCACTTACTCGGTTTGTCTGGTTATTCTACTGAAAACAGCCGGACTACAACGATTTACCGGCTCCATGGGAAAGCCTGTTTTTACTTCCTCGCTCATTCGAAGGTACTTCGTAAGAAGAGAAAGTGACGCAAACGTGCGCCGGAAAACGCGAATTGTCGACAGAAAAGCTCTTCTTGCCAGGCGCTGGAAAGGAAAAAGAGGAAAAAAATCCAGTTGCAAAGTATAGAAAATAATTCTCTAACACGTGGTGTAGCCTGAAGCCATGTTTTGTGGGTCTTGATATCGAAAAATCTATTACTATAAAATGTTTGTTTGTCAGGCTATGGCCAACGTTACCACCTACACCGTTCAGCCAATTTTCTTCAAAATTGATATTCTCCGGTTGATCTGAATGAATTCCAGGCTTAGGAGTTTCAATTGAATTTTTTTTTTAATTTTTGACAGTATTTACAGGAAGCTTTAAAAATTTTTCAAACTTCTCAACCATGGCACCAAATGTTTTGATCAAACTTTGTCCTCGGATATGTTAAAGAGAATGGTGCAGTTCTCATGCTCAGTGAAATTAAAAGCTTTTGGAAAATTGCAATTTTGTGGGCGCCTACCTACAATTATAATAAGAGTTTTTTTTCTTAATGAAATCTGTTCCTTAAAGACCGAACTGTAAATAAGTTCAGGTTCAATTTTTCGAAAATATAAGCAGTTTTCATGTAACTTAACCGGAAATATAGGTCTTTCAAAAAAAAATTCTTAAGAACCGGTCCAAATTTTACTTTAAATTTTTTCCACGGATAGAAGGAGAATGTTTAAATAATGGATTAGGTCTAATTTTTGTTGAACACTCTTAATTTTAGGAAATTACAAAATTAAAAATAATGCGAGAAACTTTGTACTGTTGTAGCGCTACTAGTTACAATACGGTAAAAACGAAACAACTATCAAGTTTGTTTTTTACTGCAAAATTCGCCGCCGGGGCTCCACATGTGTGGCCTTGGCTTTTTCCGCCACATGACACTCGCCATGGAGGAGCTAAAGGGCAGAGATTTCGACCGGCGGACGTAGCAGATTCTTGTTTCCTCAATTCAATGTATGTTTTTCTACTTATATGCCAGTTTTCAATACCATATTCCAAAATTAAATTTTTTCATAATTTGTCACGTAATGGGGGGGGGGTGTTTTGTACTTCCGTATTTAGCCGAAATCATATTTCGCATGTAAGTACGAAACTATTATTTTGACCGAATTTTGGTTTGCTCCGTTTATTTTCTCGTATCTTGTTCTACTGATCTACTGTTCTACAGTTTTTAACCTTTTAGCTACGGAGTTTTTTTTTCCTTCTGCACTCCGTGCGGTACGGACTTCTTTAAATAGACGAATTTGCTTGACCCCAGTGGAGGTCTAACTTCGGGGAGTGATGACAGCTACACTCCAAGTGCTGAAAGTCCTTCTTGATATAAATTTAAAGGGATTAACTGAGTAAGACAGTATAAACATTTCCTCTGCAAAATAAAGTAATATTATTTTGGGCAATGATCCTCTTTTTTTTAACTTTCATTCTTTACCCTCCCTTGTACACAACTTTGCATTTCATGTTAATAATGCCTTTATAATTAGAATATTTAGCAAAAGCAAAACGCGACTGCGATCGCCCATGAGAAGCGTGAGCCGAGGCGGGTTTGTTCGAACTATTGTGGGTGACGGGAGGTGTACACGGTGAAGCGTTACATATAAGTACATGAGTCTAAAGAAAGAGGCTCACTAACAAAAGAGAAGCTTGTATAGCACAGATATTTGTATAGCACCAAGACGATGGTTTATACCAAAAAAATAAACTATTAAAACATTGCAAATAATACAAAACAATACATAACAAAATATAAAATCAATAAATATATTCCATTGCTATAAACATGTGATTACCCCATTGTTACCTCCTACTGTAGAAGAATTTATTTCTTCCAGAAATGAATTATTACCTATGAAATTAATGTCATATATTATGGACCTAATTAGTGAATGTTATATGTATCTGCCATGCGATACCCAAATTCCTTTATAAAATGATAACATAAAACATTTATTCTGTTCTTAGTGTGGTATGACATATTATTATTATTATTATTATTATTATTATTATTATTATTATTATTACTATTATTATTATTCTTATCATTATTATTATATTCCAATGACGTCTCCAAGCGAAGGTTGACTAGCGATCAATATTCCCGTATGTCTCACGAACTGCGGCAAACTGTAAATGCAAGAAATATCAGAGGAGCCAACGCTCGCTCTTCCCACCGCAAGACCGTACTCCATCAACACATCCCTGCCTGATTGCGTAGGCCGGAGCACCGATGCGTTAGAATCGGAGCACCGCTGCTTGCATCCGTCAGCAAGCAAAAGGTGAGAGCCGACGCGCAACTCTGGAGGTCAAGTCAAAAGTATCCCGTTCATACGGCTGGGTTGAAATGCTGTGGAAAACCTCTTTCCAAATCGTATTTAAAAGGTTCCAAACAAAGAGTGGGATTAACGTCTGCTTTGCACCATTGAATTTCTCGACGATAGTTGTATTTACATGCGTGATTTCAGAAAGAAACTACGGAATAACGTTTTTTCAAATTCCCCCCCCCCTCCAATTTCAGGATTTGGGCCTCATTTGATTTTACGACTATATTTTCGTAACTAACAGCCTGATTGACGTCCGCTTTGCACCATCGAATTTCTCGTCGAGAGTTGTACTCACATTCATGATTTCAGAAAGAAACTACGAAAATAAGTTTTTTCCAATTTTTCCCTTCAATTTCGGGATTTAAGCTTCATTTGGTTTCAAGCGCTTAATTTTAAAACTAAAAGTCAGATTGACGTCTGCTTTGC